ATTGCTGCACATGGCATGGGGTATTCCAAAGCTCCCCACCACCGTGAGCAGCAGGGGTGACCCTGGAGCTCCTGACTGCTGCAAATGGCAGGGGCTCCCTGCAGCTCCCAGGAACTCCTGGCCGCCGTAAGCAGCGTGGGGACACCCCCTGAGCTCCCAGCCGCCACAGAGGGAAGCAGGGGCCGCCCACTGCTCCCACGAACTCCCGGCCCCCGTGGGTGGTGAGGGGGACCCCCGCAGTTCTTGGCCGCCATGGGTGGAGAGGGGGGACTCCCGTGCTTCTTGGCTGCTGCGGGCACTGGGGGGCTCTGAGCCATGCGGTGGGGGGATCCCGCAGCTCCTGGCCAGCCCTCGTAGCTCCCACCACTGCGGCAGGAGAGGAACCCTGGAGCTCCAAGGCCCCCACATGTGGTGGGGACCTCTGGAGCTCCCAGCCAGGCGCCCTGCATTGGCTCCCCGTTTTGTCATGGATATTTTTAGTAAAAGTCAGGGACAGGTCACGGGCTTCTGTGAATTTTAATTTGTTGCCCATGACTTGTCTGTGACTTTTACTAAAAATATCCAAGACAAAATCTTAGGTTTATTAATTAATTTGTTAGTGCCCAGAAGGGCATCATTTGATAAAGCATGAGACACCATGTTTTAGCTGTACTCATTTTTCAAATACCAGGATCATATTTAAGAATAATAGCAGGAGTGTCATAAACAAGACACAGGAAGTAATTCTTCCACTCTGCACTGTGCTAATTTGGCCTCAGCTGGTGTATTGCGTCCATTTCTGGGTGCCACATTTCAGGAAAGATGTGGACAAATTGGAGAGAGTCCAGAGAAGAGCAAAATGATTAAAAATCTAGAAAACATGACCTTACAAGGGAAGACTGAAAAACTGGGTTTGTTTAGTCTGGAGAAGACAAGTTGAGGGGAGGTCATAACAGTTTTCAAGTACATAAAAGGTTGTTACAAGGAGAAGGGAGAAAAAATGTTCTCCTTAATCTCTGAGGATAGGAAAAGAAGCAATGGGCTTAAACTGCAGTGAGAGTGATTTAGGTTGGACTTCAGGAAAAACTTCCTGTCAGAATGGTTAAGCACCGGAATAAATTGCCTAGGGAGGTTGTGGAATCTCCGTCATTGGAGATTTTTAAGAGCAGATTAGACAAACACCTGTCAAGGCTCATCTAGATAATATTTAGTCCTGCCTTGAGTGCAGAGGTCTAGACTAGAAGACCTCTCGAGGTCCCTTCCAGTCCTACAACTCTATGACAAATCCTGCTCTCTGTATTTATGCATGTAATCCCAATGAAGTCAGTAGGGCTGCTCGTATAAGGAGAGCAGGATCTCGCTCATGTTTTTAATGCTATACCGGTAGCGTTGGCAGGATTTGATTTTTATCGGTAAATGTCAGTAAATGTCAATTTCTCTGTACACACACAAACTGACGAAAAATATTTTCATCAGTAATAATAGAAATTTCAGATAGGCAATGAAAGAAAAATGCTGTTTGATAACAGAGTTTACACAGTATATTTTGACATCTGATGTTGACAATTTGTGTTTTAACAATTATAAAACTAACTTTTTGAATCTCAACATCTACTCTCATTAAACAATTATTTTCACTCCTCCACCCATAATTTCTTGCAAATGTGAAAATTTAAATTGATAAAAATAGGAAAAAATGCTTTAAAACAAAGAGATATCTATCAACATTTTTTTAAAAAATTCAAATTCTGCCAAGCCTATATATAGGGTGGGGCATTTTGTCCAAAAATAATCAAATCAATTGACTGGTCAAATAATGTTAAAAATAGTTAAATATTTTAAAGCACTAATTTATTAGAAGAGTAACAAAAAGAGTAAGACTATATGGTCTTCAGATATATATTTCTGCCTACTTACAAAAACTAAGTTACTTAACTGAGGATGTGTCTACACTACAAGCACTACAGTAGCACAACTACTGTGCTGCAGCTATGCCGCTGTAGTGTAGAGACTAGCTACAACAATAGAAGGGTTTTTTCCATCACTGAAGTAAATTCACCCTGAGAAGCAAGGTCAACAGAACAATTATTTCTTCGACACACCAGTGTCTTCATCCGGGCTTAAGTTGGATTTTTTACACCCCGGAGTGACAAAACTAGGTAAACCTAAGTTTTAGGTGTAGATCAGGCCTGAGTTATTTTAACTCAGAAAAATTTGAAGCACAATGAAATGAAGTTCTAAAAATGAAAGAATGGCATCATTATGAAAACAAAAAGGTAGGCCACTGCCTATTTTTTGTTGGAATATTTCACAATATTTGACCATGGTCAAGTAATAGGCAGTCAATTAACTGACTTGCCAAGCCTAGCTATAAAGATAAAAATTGCTATATAATAAGAATTATTTTAATTGCTTTAGTTCTTTGAAGTAGCAGTGAAAAGAAGAGGAGGCTAGGTTGCCCATATCATTCTTATCTTTAATACGCAATTAGTTATGACAAAGCAGAGTAAGAATGCTTTTTTAAATGATCATTTACAGATATTTACACAAATCAGTTCTGTTCATGTTAATTTTTAGCAACATTAATAATTATAAACTTTTACAGATGTTAGATACTCTTGCATTAGTGAAGTTATTTGCTTACCTCTGTTATCCGTGAAAAGTTACAACCCCACAAAAATATTATTTGCATTAATCTAACTGTAGGAGATAAAAAGGTGCAAATATTCCACAAGCTGGGCTTGTCTACACTTACGACGCTGCTACAGCACTGTAATGCTTAGTGGAAATGCTGTGTACGAATTTCTCCTATTGAATCAGAGAATATCAGGGTTGGAAGGGACCTCAGGAGGTCATCTAGTCCAACCCCCTGCTCAAAGCAGGACCAATCCCCATCTAAATCATCCCAGCCAGGGCTAAGCCTGACCTTAAAAACCTCTAAGGAAGGAGACTCCACCACCTCCCTACCCATTCCAGTGCTTCATCACCCTCCTAGTGAAAAAGTTTTTCACTAGGCCAATGGGAGCTGCGGGAAGCAGCGCGGGCCAAGGGACGTGCTGGCCACCCTTCCTGCAGCCCCCATTGGCCTGGAGCAGCGAACTGCGGCCAGTGGGAGCCGCAATCGGCCGAACCTGCGGACGCGGCAGGTAAACAAACCGGTCCGGCCTGCCAGGGACTTCCCCTGAACAAGCGGCGGACCGGCTTTGAGAACCACTGGTCTAGATCCATCCTCTTTGGAACCCCCTTTCAGGTAGTTGAAAGCAGCGATCAAATCCCCCCTCATTCTTCTCTTCTGCAGACTAAATAATCCCAGTTCCCTCAGCCTCTCCTCATAAATCATGTGCTCCAGCCCCCTAATCATTTTTGTTGCCCTCCGCTGGACTCTTTCCAATTTTTCCACATCCTTCTTGTAGTGTGGAGCCCAAAACTGGACACAGTACTTCAGATGAGGCCTCACCAATGTCGAATAGAGGGGAATGATCACGTCCCTCGATCTGCTGGCAATGCTCCTACATATGTAGCCCAAAATGCCATTAGCTTTCTTGGCAACAAGGGCACACTGTTGACTCATATCCAGCTTCTCGTCCACTGTAACCCGTAGGTCCTTTTCTGCAGAACTGCTGCCGAGCCATTCGGTCCCTAGTCTGTAGCAGTGCATGGGATTCTTCCGTCCTAAGTGCAGGACTCTGCACTTGTCCTTGTTGAACCTCATCACATTTCTTTTGGCCCAATCATCTAATTTGTCTAGGTCCTTCTGTATCCTATCCCTACCCTCCCGCATATCTCCTCCCAGGTTAGTGTCATCTGGAAACTTGCCAAGGGTGCAGTCCACGCCATCCTGCAGATCATTAATGAAGATATTGAACAAAACGGCCCCCAGGACTGACCCTTGGGACACTCCGCTTGATACCAGCTGCCAACTAGACATGGAGCCATTGATCACTACCTATTTGGCGTAGTACTTCACTTTCCCAAGACGCAGTAACTATAGCGCTAGCGCCGTCCACACTGGAGGTTAGTTCAGTATAACTATGTTGCTCAGGAGTGTGGACATAGTTATATCAACAGGTTTCAGAGGAACAGCCGTGTTAGTCTGTATTCGCAAAAAGAAAAGGAGTACTTGTGGCACCTTGTGGTTAGTTATATCAACGTAAGTTTGTAGTATAGACCAGTGCATAATCAACCATTTACCATATCTGAGAAATACTTAGTCACTGTGGCAATCCCGAAGCGAGTGTTTAAAACTTGTCATACAATCCAGCACAATCCTCTTGTTAAAAAAGGCAGGCAGACAAGGATGCTTGCACCACCCAAAACAATGCTGTAGTCATCCCCAACAGCCCGCTGCAGCACATCAGCAAGGTGGAGCCTTATGCTGGGAACTTGAAAGGCTGCAGAGATAATCAGGGACTTGCTCCGCTTTTGTACGTTTAAACACAAGAGACAAACACTGGGCGCTCAGTTGTGAAGCCAGCGCTGGCCCGACAAAGTCACGGGGGGGGGGGGGGGAGACACAGGAGAGGTGACCTGGCTACTAACAGCACTGGCAGCCTGGCTGCCAAACCCCACTCACGGGGGGAAGGTGCCGCCCTGGCGGATGTTAAGTCTCTCTCGGGGGTAGGAAATAACCGGGGGGCAGGAAACAAGGCTGTTCCGCTGTTTACGTCCCTGGGCGCGGACAATCCTTGCTGCGGGCACAGAGCGCCCCTCGTTGCCCGACACCGCCCAGGCGCAAGCAGCAGCTCCGGCCCGCGGGCTCTGCTGCCCCGGAGCGAGGAGGGGGCTGACAGGGAGCCCCGCCGGCCAGCTCGGGGTGCCAGGCCCCTCATCCCGACGCCGCGGCTCCCTGCAGGGGGCGGGGGATGCGCTGCCCAAGGCGGAGCTGAGGTCTCATATTCCCCACTCCCGCCTCCCCTTCCTATCCCAGCCCCGCGCCCCGCCCAGACCCCCGGACACACACAGAAGCCCGGCCCGGGGCGGGGGCCCGCCGCGGTCTCTGATCCCCGCGCCCCACCCTTCACCTTCCAGCTCCTCCATGGCGCGCTCCGGCTCCGGCTCCGGCTGCCGCTGCTGTAGCAACACGGCCCCACCCCCGACCGCTAACATCCCCCGCTCCCATTGGCTTCCCCGGGCGGGCGGGCCGGGGCGACAGAGCCCCCTGTCCGTCGGGCCTGGCCGGGCTGGGGCGCTCCCTGCTGCCTCGCGATTGCCGCCCCTAGCCCTCGCCACCGACCCCTGCTCCTCTGAGCTCTCCCCAAATACCCCCGCAGCCTCGCCGCCACCCGACCCCGCAAACCGCAATCTGCTGCTTCTCTAATCGCTCCCCAAATGCCCCGACCTCTCGTCCCCCTCCATCTCCAAGACCTTCCCAAATCCCCATGTCCCCCAATTTCTCTAAATCCCCCAGGTGGCCCCCAGTTCCCCCGGATCTCTAATTTCCCCCACTATCTCCTCGATCTCCCAAAATACCCCTGCCCCCTCCCCCCCAATTTTCTTGCAGTCACTCTGTCCCCAAATCCAATTTACCTTCCATCCTCCTGAATCCTCCCACAGATCCCTGTACATCTTTTACTGCCCCGCCCCCCCACACACCCGCATCCCAATCTCAGTACATTGCTACTCTTTTCCATACCTCCCAAGTTTCCTCTGACTGCCAGATGCTGAGACTGGATGAGGAGGTGGATCATTTAACAATTGCCCTGTTCTGTTCACTCCCTTTGAAGCATTGGCCACTGACCGAAGACAGGCTATTGTGCTAGCTAGAGGGACCATTGATCTGACCCAGTATGGCCCTCCTTATGGTCTTCTGTCCCCTTGTGTCAGGGATGAAAGTTCGGAGGTACGGGCCAGTACGGAGTACCGGTAAAAAGTGGCTGCCGGTACCGGCCCGTAACGGCTGAGTTTAAAGCGCTGCCGGGGCAGCACTTTTAACGTCACTGCCCCTTTTGCGCCCCCCATCGGCGTCCCTGCTGCAAAGGACCCTTTAATGTCGTTGTCCTTTTTTCCTTCCCCGCGCCCGCCTAAAAGAAGTAGCTACCCCAGGGCCACGATTTAAAAGGGCCCAGGCAGCAGCAGCGGCTGGAGCCCCAGACCCTTTTAATTGCTGCAGGAGCCCCGGGCAGCACAGGCCTGGCCCCTTCCACCAGAAGCCCTGCCCCTTCTGGGGGAGTGGGGTGGGGGAGGCAGAGCAGGCCCCGTACTGGTAAGAGCTCGTACCCCTGCCTTGTGTCAACTCTCCCTCTACCCTCAAATCCCCCTGTATGTCTTTATACACTCCATCCCAAATCTCCTTACATCATTTTCCTCCCTCCTGCTTCACACAACAGATCCCTCTGCAGCAGCATGTTATCCATTAATTATGATTAATGCTCTTGGAGCTGCTAAAAATCTAGAGAGAATGTGGGAAGTGCTAACAGCCCATCTGAAGCTGCTGGAAAATCACGGTACCACAGAATCCCCTTTTTTCAGAGATATTTTTCAGTCCTCTCCCTCCTTTATTCATTATAGCAATGTTTCTGTTACATTTACAGACATCAGAAAAGTACCTAAAGACTGATAATGAATTTCAGTGCACCTGTAGAAGGAGATATAAATACTGCTAACATAAGAATGGCCATACTGGGTCAGACCAATAATGCATCTAGACTAGTATCCTGTCTTCTGACAATGCTCAGAGTCAGATGCTTCAGACAGAATGAACAGAACAGAGAGGGTGTACTGAGTAAAACATTCCCTCTCATCCACGCCCAGCATTTAAGCAGTCAGAAGTTTAGGGACACTCAGAGCATGGGGTTTTGTCCATGACCGTAGTGGCTAAACGCCATTGTTCCACCGATTCTCCATTAACTTATCTAGTTCTTTTTTGAACCCTGTTATAGTCTTGGCCTTCACAACATCCCCTATCAGTGAGTTCCACCGGTTGACTGTGTACTTCCTTATGTTTGTTTTAAACCTGCTGCCTATTAATTTCATTGGGTGACCCCTAGCTCTTATGTTATGGGATAAATTACACTTCCTTATTCATTTTCTCTACACCATTCATCAGGGCTGTCCCTAGGGAAGTGCAGGGCCAGGGACAAATCAGCCCCCTTGAAGGCCCTGCTCTGCATCGGCAGCTGGGTTGGTGGGATGGAACCAGCTTGGTGCTGAGCCGCCTGCTGCTGCTGGCAGTTGCTGGTGCCTACCACGGGGCAATTGTTGGCCACAGCACCATGGTAGCTCAGGGCTCCAGCTGGGGCGGGGGACTCATTGCACTGAAATGCAGGCGGATGAGCTGGGTGCTGTCTCTGCTAACTGCCAACAAGATAGCGGGCCCGGCGGAAGTGACAGATTTATCTTTTGGCAGTGGCGCTGGAACATTTTTAATATGGGGGCTGAAAGCCAGCCCCCTTACTCCTGCCCCCAGAGCTGAGGCTGGGAGCAAAGCCCCCGGTGTGGGGCGGTAGCACATCCCTAGGCTTGGGATGGCCTCAGAACTCTGGACATGGAGCCAGCCAATCTGGACATGGGCATGGGGTGGTAGCAGAGCCCTGGGGGCGCGGGGTGGCAGCTGAGACCCCGGTAGCAGGGCAGCAGCAGTGATCTCGGGTGGCAGCAGAGACCCTGGGAGCGGGGCGGCAGCCGAGACCCTGGTGCATGGGGTGGCAGCAGAGCCCTGGGCGCGTGGGGCAGCAGCCGAGACCCCACGTGCGGGGCTGGCAGCTGGGAGCATGGGGGTGCTGCAGCACCTCCTGCTCCCCATGCCTACGTCTTCCGGGACCGACCGCATTTGCCAGTCACACCAGCCTGCGGAGCACTCCAAAGCGCAGGGCCTGGAGCGGTCACCGCGATTCGCCCTACCCAAGGGATGGCTCTGCCATTCATGATTTTATAGATATCTATCATATCCCCCCTTAGTTGTCTCTTTTCTAAACTGAACATTCCCAGTCTTCTCAATCTTTTCTCACGTGGAAGCTGTTCCATATCCCTAATCATTTTTGTTGCCCTTCTCTGTCCTATTTCCAAGTCTAATATATCGTTTTTGGAGATGAGATGACTGGAATTGCACACAGTATTCCAGGTGGGGGCATACCCACTTTTTATAGTGGTATTATATTTCTGTCTTATTTTCTATCCCTTTCCTAATGATTCCTAACATTCTGTTCGCTTCTTTGACTGCTGCTGCACATTGAGCAGATGTTTTCAGAGAACTATCCACAATGACTCCAAGATTGCTTAAGCAGTAACAGCTAATTTGGACTCAATCATTTTGTATGTATAGTTGGGATTGTGATGGGTTCGATCACAGAAACTCCTTTGGGACTGCTGCCTGATGTGCTGAGACTACCTCTAAGCCCATTTTCCCTGGCAGTTGGGACTTCAGAACCCTGCCTGGTTGTGCCAGACATGCTAGCCTGCTACAAACACAGACCCAGGTCTGAACCACGTCCCCTACAAGCTGCACGCTTACCTGAAAAGAGTTTGAGAAGTGTTCCTGTCTCCAACACTCAGGTGCCCAGCTCCCAATGGGTCTAAACCACAAATAATTCTGTTTTACCCCATATAAAGCTTATAGAGGATAAACTCATAAATTGTTCACCCTCTATAACACTGATAGAGAGATATGCACAGTTGTTCCCCCCCCCCAGGTATTAATACATACTCTGAGTTAATTAATAAGTAAAAAGTGATTTTATTAAATACAAAAAGTAGGATTTAAGTGGTTCCAAGTAATAACAGACAGAACAAAGTGAATTACCAAGCAAAATAAAACAAAACACGCAAGTCTAAACCTAATACAGTAAGAAAGTGTTTACAGATGAAATCTCACCCTCAGAGATGTTCCAAAAAGTTTCTTTTACAGACTAGCCTCCTTCTAGTCTGGGTCCAGCAATCACTCACACCTCTGTGGTTACTGTCCTTTGTTCCAGTTTCTTTCAGGTATCCTTTGGGGGTGGAGAGGCTATCTCTTGAGCCAGCTGAAGACAAAATGGAGGAGTCTCCCAGGACTTTATACAGTTTCTCTCTTCTGGGTGGAAGCCCCCCTCTCCCCCCTTTGTAGCTACAAAATGGAGTTTTGGAGTCACATGGGTCAAGTCACATGTCCATGCATGACTCAGAACTTGACAGGAATGTTCCCAAGAAAGCTCAGATGTGGATTTGCATCTATCAGATTAAGTATTTCTTGATTGGGCACTTACTGAGAATAGTCTTTTCTCAAGAAGCTGATGAAATGCTTCATTGAGGCTACTTAAAATCAAACAAGTACACAGCCAATATTCATAACTTTGAATACAAAAATGATACATGCATACAAATAGGATGAATACATGCAGAACATAACCTTTGCAAAGATATGTTACATGGCATACCTAGCATAAAACATATTCCAGTTATGTCATATTTACACTCATAAGCATATTTCTATAAAGCATTATGGGGTGCAACATCAGAGGGATTATGTTTTCTAATGTGCATTACTTTGCACTTATTAACACTGAATTTCATCTGCCATTTTGTAGCCTGGTCACCCAGCTGATCTACAGAAACCATAGTTGGACATGGGATCCTCTAGTGCCTCCAATAGCATTGTGTGCAATAGGGCTGTCAATTGCAATTAACTCAGCAATTAAGTCAAAACAAATTAATCATGATTAATCACAGTTTTGATCACACCATTAGTACTAATTGTTGTTGTTACCTTTTCTTAAATATTCCATTTTTTCACAACATCCAAGAAATGCTCTACGTGTGTTTCAGCATAATGTCTCTCTTCAGTATGTATTACTGTTAAAGCAAATGACTGCAGTGTTCATGCAGCATCCATCAGGTGTGTCGTGACTCCAAGAGAGCTGTGATTGCTCAAGGATGTCCTGTAAACAGCAGTCCAAGCAACAGCTAGTGCATTTTTCAGAAGCTCCAACTGAGTATTCTTCTCACTGTGAAATAGGTCATGTATTTGTGATACAATGGTTCCTCCGGAGGGCAAGGGGTATGATTGATTGGAAGATTCAATTAGAATAACATCTCTTAACCCTCTGTCGTTTACAGTGTTGAGTGGTCTGCTGTCCATAGCTATCTACTTTGCAATAGCATTGGTTAAGCTGCTGTATTTTG